GCTGTGGGCAACTTTGCAGCTCAGCTCTCAACTGCTGCGCCACCAGGGCAGGCCCAGCCATGTTTTTTTTTAAAGGTTTATTTTATTTATTTATGCATACAAGAGCTGGGGTACAGGCCAAAGGTGTGGAGAGGTGAGAGGATTCACTTGACATGAGTGGGAAGCAGAACAAGTGGATCTACTGACACTGCTGAGGGGGAGCAGTGGGCAAGACAGGAGAGGTCTGCTGTGCCATGTGGGTCACCTCCTTACCCGGAGATCAAACTCATGCTGCGATGGCTGGTGACAGCCTCATAGAGCTGAGACTTAACCCCTTGCACCACCAGGGAGACCCCCATGGTTTTCATCTCAAATGGATACTTCTCATGGGCAGATGAATGGTATTTCTTCCACCTGCTCCATTTTCTCTGTTTCTCTTTCAAAGACAGCTCAAAACGATGATCTATACTCACTGTGTCTAACCCTCTTCCAATCCACCCTTCCTCAAAAGGCATCCAGACTACAAGTTGCCTCTTGCTGCCAAAAGCCAGTAAAGTCCAGAAAAATCTCTCCCACTACAGTAACACAGAGCATCCTGGGCAGCCATACCACACACAGCAGGCATACCTGCAAAAAGAAACAGCACACCTACAGGAAACTTTCATATTTGTATAAGTTCACAACACCCAGAGCAGAGAGAAACAGCTCGAGTGACAGAAATACAGGTGAAAAGTACTCTACTTTAAGAGCAGAGAGTTGAGTACCAGCAGACAGAAACTGGGGACTTCTGCAATCTGTATGTGAGTCCAGTTAATATAAAACCAGAATGATGGAAGAGAAATAAGCCAGATACAAGAGAAAGCAGTTCTCAGAGTCACATCCAGCCTGGGTGAGGAAGGCTGTGAGTTAACACAGGATCAAAGCAACACTGGAGAGTGAAGAGTGTACACAGGAGAGGTGTGTACACTGGAGCAGGACTGGGAGGTTAGGAGAAACAAAATGAATTAAATTAGTAGGTACAGTGGAAAGCTTGAAAGTTGAAGAGATCTTAGGAAAGACGGTCAAAACAGGAAGCAGCAGTCAAGACTTTGCTTCTATTCTACCATAAGAGGGAGGGACACCCAGGAGCCAGCGGGAGCTTGGTGAGCAGAGCTGAGGCTTGGGTGGATACTAAATCGAGCTTACCCAGACCTTGGGGCCCCTTCCCCCCACTTTACAATATTATTCACTATCATGAGAAAAACCACATGCAAATAAAGTTGTCTCAGGGGCATTTAGGAAGAGTCTGTGCAGCAGGGGTGGGATAATAACACAAGGAAGAGTTAAGTTGTGTATTAAATGGTTAAACTGAGTTTGCATGCATGAGAGTTTCCATGTGCTATACATGCCTCAAGGTTCTCCCACTGGTTTGGGTGTAACTTATGCCCCAAAATCATACATATCTGTTGCCACCAATGAATTAAAGAGGCATTGGACTAGGAAACAGAACTCTTTTCCTTATGCTTTGTGTGAGGAAATGTAGCGGCTGAATGACTGGGCCTTTCCAGAATGAGTGGCAGAAGGGAAATCAAGGCCGCCATATTTGCATCTTACTGGTAGTTAGGTGACAGTGGCACGGTGAGTCATTTTCTGTATGCAGAAATACGCAGATGCACACATGTATTTATAACACTAAGTTTACTAGCTGTTCATGGTTAATTCCATAGTGTGCAATGAGTTCTAATATATGCATAAAATTTTGTCCATGACAAAGTCCTGAGTTAAAATAAAAAGAAAAAATGAAAATGACTCAGGTATTGTTGACAAGGGATATGGGAATCTACAATGTTTCAGTCAAGATTCCAGACAGCAGGAGCCTTCCTGGTGGCCTTGGGGTTAAGGTTCAGTGTCATCACCTCTATAACCTGAGTTCAATCCCTGCCAGGGAGCTAACCCACAGATGGTGAGACCTCTCCTCTCTCACCTGCTGCTCCCCTCAGCAGTGTATTTCAGTCTGCCTGTTCTGCTCCCCACTCTGCTTCTGGTGAATCCTCTCACCCCCCCACACCTCTAGCCTATACCTCAATTCTTCTATACAAAAATAAATAAAAATTAAGAAAAAAAAAGGTTTCCAGACATCTCTCATTTCAATGGGCATAAGCACATGGAGTGGGATGGGAGGCCAACCAAACTATACTATTTTAATTATTATTTTCATCCATCTCCTTGACCCCTTGCCTTCCAGCTATATGACTGATTAGGGGAATGAAAAGCTTATATGAGTGACTGCATCATGTACTACAAGCCCAAAGCCCAGCAGCATGAAGAGGTCACTGCTCTGAACTTGCACCTTCAGCAGCAGACCACTAGCTTGCAGGGGGGATGTTTGCTCTTACAACAGCTCTGCCTGGGTCATGCCTCACACCCCAGTTTCCACTCAATTCAAGCCCAAATTTTGCTGGCTTTTTCTTTTCCTGGGAGCCAGGCTTTGTCCTTGTTCCCTGGGTTTCTTTTTCATTCAACTACTTCTGAATCAAGGTGTAATAACCTACCTCACTGACATCACCTCTGCCTGGAGATTCCTGGCTCCACGCTCAGTCCAATGCCCAATGCCCAATGCCCAAAGTGCAATGCCTTGGAAAGGGATGTCATTTCAGAGTGAACATTTAGTTCATTCTGCCCCATGAGCAGCCTGTCACCTTTGGGAAACCAACCCTACAACCCAGCTAATTCCCTTGAACCTGGATCCAACCAGAGGGACAGCCGGAAGCCTTCAGTTTCTGCTGAAGTTTAGGGATAGATGGACTGGAGTCAGGAGACTGTGAGTCTGTGGCCCTGAAAGCTCAAATCATGAAAGGCCTCAGAGGATCTGCGGCTTGACCTCTTTCTCCTGCTTCCCCAGTGGAGCAAACCTAGAGTGCAGCATGAGACCACTGTTCTTTGTGGAACCCTCATGCCTACATTGATAGGTAATCAAAGAGAGATGGGGATTTGAAGACAGTACCAGGAGAGCAGGGATCATGGTACTTCTGTTCTCCCCTTTTCCCTAGTGCCCAGCATAGTGCCTGGCATATAGTACACGCTCATTTAATATATGTCAAAAAAATGGTTGATTGAATGGAGAGAGGAGCTAATACAAGTGGTGGGTGATTCTTCAGCAGTGCTCCAGCTTGTCCCCGTGCCACATGCGCCTGGACTTAGGAGGACCAACGAATCACGCCTGTATCCTCAAATACAACACTTGCCTTTCAGACTTTCAATGCATTTATCACATCACTTAGGCGAGTCTACACATACAATTGAAGTGCATCACTTCCAAGACCCACAGATGACACCCGCCATGGTGGGGTCAATGCTGTAATTTTCAGAGGTGTCTGGCACACTGAGTGACATGGCCTTGAGATATCCTTCTCACCTCAAATGAGGAGCCACTGCCTTCATCCATCCTGCCTCCCTGCTAGTCCCCACAACTGATGAGAATCCCAGAGTGTTCTCCAGGTTTTTCTAGGTCAGTCGCTCACTGGGCTTGCTGGGTATAAGCTGGTTCTTGAGCTGTGGCAGAACACCTGTCCTTTTCTGCAAAGCTCAGTCCTGCCTTGTTCAACCTGAATGGGAGTGGAAGTAGGTTAGTGGCCATTTACCAAATACCTACATGGACAGGACTTACACAAATCCCTGCTCTTGGGTGTGATGGTCTGGTTGAGTCTCTCCTAAGACAGAGCATTCCCTTTCCCTCCAGTAGATTATATTCAGAGCTCCCTTGAAAGGGAGCTTTGTATAAGGCAGCCTGTGTCCTACCCAGTACATTTTATACAGTAGAGTCAGGTTAAAAGGAAAAAGAGATTAAGTAAGGGTAAAGGCAAGTAAGAGGGATGATCTTTCCATAGGTATCTGCCTTGGGGTGGACTGACTGAATGCATGTGACGGGATGGACTTGTATGGATAGACCTGAGTAAATACCCATCCATGGAGTAACCCACCCACGCTGCTCTGCCTATTTAGGCGCCCCTGGGCTCCAGCCTACCCCTCCCCACTCCGCTCAATTTAGAGCATGGACTCAGCACCATGTCTTTCCAAACTTATTAAAGTCAGACTCCAGGAAGCAGAAAAGACCTCAGTGGTAACACCGTTTAGCCCCTGTCTCCATGCAGGGACCCCCTTAACCTCCCTGACAGGCAGCCCCATCTCATGCACCAACCAGGAACCTTCCACATAAGCCGGAGAGTGTGAGACACCAGAGCCCTTTGTGCAAAGCACAGTTCACCAACTACTCAAAGCTATCCAAAAGCACACTCTCTGGAAGAAGGGCTGGAGAATCTCAATTTCAAACAAAAATCCACCCGGTGAGTCTTTCAATACGGCATGTATCATCTGTGTGTGTCATGTGGTAGTTCTTTTTTCTCTCAAGATTTATTAATCTTCCCATCATTTATATCTCTGTATAACTCTAAGGAAACATCTTCACACTTCCAGAAGTCCATGGGCTTCCCTCACCCTGATCGACTGGTTCCAGACAGTGGCCACGTATCAGAATCAGCTAGGAAGCTCTAAAAAAATAAAATCAATGACAGAGTTTGCCCCCAGCTATTCCTACTTAATGTTTCTGGAGTAGAGCTCAGGTGGTGTAAAATTTAAAGACCCCAGCTGATTCTAGTGTGCAACGGGGGCTGAGAACTACTGTAAGCTCTCCCCCGAGCTTAGGTAATACCTCTTTGAAGGGAGCAGCAGGCAAGAAGCCTATACCTCTTATATAGTCCACATCACCATGCCGAACTTGCAGCAGAACACACTCTGTCGCTACCAACTTGATTGAACTAGCTTGGCTTACCCAGTCAATATGGGATTCTATTTTCTACGTTAGGAGCTGTGCATTTCCACTTAGGAAGAGGCCAGACATTGGAGAGATGTGAACTCTTCTTTCCATGGTTGAGGCCCCACAACCCCTAGAACTCCCTTTCACCACACTGATCAGCCCAAACGTTGCCAAAAGCCTGACCCAGGCTTCCACCCTCCCGCTCCTGCCCCTTGCCAGCCCCACTCACATTGTACAGCACGGTGGTCCACCCTTCCATGGTGATGCACTGGAAGACGGTCAGCACAGCAAAGAGGATGTTATCAAACTGGGTGATCCCGTCATTGGGGCCGATCCAGTCCCTGCACTCATAACCAGCTGGGCAGCCCTGCACGCCACATGGGTGAGGGGGGTCAAATCCTTCCAGAATACCTGCAGACAGATTTGGAAGGTGAAGAGAAACACACAGTGGTTAGCATGAGCTGGAGATGACCCAGGTAACCATAGGCACAAAGTTCTACTTCCCACAGAAAGTGTGTTCTCTGTGTCTCTGCCTCCTTTCTCTTCTCTCTGGCCCTTCTGTACCTCATAGCTCACATACCAAATGTTCAACCCAATGTTTCCTAATCTTCTCTGAAATGGAGCCTCTCATCCACATGGCCCCCCACTTTCTGCAGGATATATATTCCATCTCACCTGAGTACCTCAAGACTGAGGACCACAGAATTTACAGGACTAGAGAGAGAAAGGCATGAGGTAAAGTATAATTGTACTGATTTTCCTAACTCTAGACTCCAGGATAAACTCAGTTCTTTTGGGTTTCTTGGGGATAATTATAAACTATAGTCTCTTCAGTGGGTCCTAACTCCTTGTTCTCTGACCTAAATTTCTGGTCTTGAATAAAAGACAAAAATAAAAATCCCAGGTGAAAGGTGCCCTTTGAAAATTATTTTCACAAAACAACATGGTACCTAACTGGGTTTTATCAACCTCTTCCCAGCTCCTTCCCTCCTAGGGCATGCTACCCAACTTGAAAAGAGCAAATAAGATGCAAAGAAACAAGAGCTGGAGGTCTGTGTACCCCGTTAATCGCCCAAGCCCCTGTCAAGCCCTGCTCAGATTTCCCACCCTATGTCTGGGTCACAGTAAGAGGAGAGAGGTCGTGAGATATGGCAGAGTGACCATGTCTCCACAGATTGGCAGGGCTCCCAACAACGCTGGATCAAGGGTCTCAGCACGTGGGTCAAAAAGGCCACTGTATAAAAATATTTCTTCAGACATGAGAGCTGATAGCCTTATGTCCAATAGACAGACCTGTTTGAAATCCTCTGACTGCAAACCTAAGAGCTTATTTGCTTTGCTGTATCAGTGCCCAGGGGGGATCTCACCTTGGCTGGTTGTGCCTAAAAAGGTTGCTGATTAGGAAGTTTCTGATTCCAATTCTAGGGTATGAGTAGGATGTACTTTTCCAACCAGTCTCCAAATGCCCTGAAATTACCCCAATGACCTGGGGAGAGAGGATGGCAAGAAGCAGAAGACAGAGTAGTCCGCATACCTGAATTGTTCATGAAGCAAGCTCGGTGCAACTTCCCACTGTAGAACTCCAGGCCAATGATAGCAAACATCAGAATGGCAAAGAAGAGGAGGAGGCCAATCTGCAGGAGAGGCACCATGGCCTTCATGATGGACTTCAGCACAATCTGCAGGCCTAGAAGGAAGGGAAGAGATTGCACCATCTGATAAATCAGGCTCCATTTCCCACCTCCTAGGAAGGAAAGGGCAAGTCTTTGGGGACAGAAGAACTGTTGGTCCTGAGATAACAAAGACATTTTGTTAAGGGGTTACAGGACAATTCAGGCCAAAGGATGCCAATAGGCCTTCCCTAGGGATCATTTCCCCTCTCCTCCCTGCTAATTTAGAGGTGTACTGCTCTTCCCATGTGGTTCCCCCATGTCCTCTTCTAGATTCTGCTTATAGAGTATGTGCTGCTCTCCAAAAGGGAATCAGGCCCATCCCTACTTAGCTCCAGGAGCTGGAGATCAAGGACAAGTTGGTCTTCCTCACACTCCATCTCAGACCCAGCCTCCAGTACACCTACCATTCAGAAAATACCATATCCTGTCACCCAGAAATTGTACTTGCAGAATTCTAGTCTATGAAAATAATCCGAGATTTAAATAAGACTTCAATTAGAGGTGTTTATTATCATAGCACTTTCCCTAGCTGGGAAAAACCTAAATGCCCAGCAAAATAGAAATGGCTTTGTAAGTCCTGACACATAGGAGACATACTATAATACAGATTTTAAAATCCTATTTTTGAAGAACTTTAAATGTTAGGAAAATCAAATGCTATGTCAGGACTCAATACAATGATCCCCATCATTGTTAAAATGCAGAGAAACAATAAATGAAAAAAGATATTAAAATATAAATAAAAGTTATATCTAAGTGATAGGAGAAAGTGTTGTTTTCTTTACTTTTCAAGTTTTCTATAAATATCTTTCATTGTTAAATCTAAAGCAAAAAAAGAAAGCTGGGAAACTATAAAATGAAATGTTATGTCAGTTTGCGACACCCCAGTATTTATTACTATCAGCACTTCCTCCCAAAGGAATCGGTGTGGCTTATCCCATATTTTCTCAAATGCTGTGTCCAGTTGAGAAGACGGGAGTGAAGCTATTAGCAAAGAAGAAAATGAGAAAAGCTGGAGCTCACTGGGTATCCCTGACACGAGCTTCAGGGGTCTCAGGACACGCACAGCCCGGAGGGTCCTCAAGTCCACATGTGTGTTGAAGTGGGTTCCCGCCGTGGCCAGGATGCTGCAAATGGAGACACAGAGGTCAAGGCTCCCACAGACCACTCTCTTGCCCTGTTCCATGGGGGACGCTGGCTTGAGGAGAACCAGCCTAGAAAGCACACAGAGCTGATGCCAGCTGTGTGTGGGCGCACCTGAGCTGGGTTGGTGACTCACCAGTGGTTCCCGGGGAATTAAATTTAGCCACATCTGGGTTTCACTTTGCAAAGAAGAAAAACTTGTCATCAAATTGGAACCCTAGTTCCAGATCACGAGCACAACACCAGGTCTAGGCACCTGCCCTATCCTTGTCCCCAAGCCTTGTTCGCTGTTCTCTGTTGCACCCCTTGCCAGCCTCCCTCCCTCTTTCCAACCCAGTCTCAAGGCCCTCACATTTTTTATTTCAGCATTTTCTTAGACTCCCCTAAGTCCTATCTCCTTCAGGAAAATTCTCTGGATTCACTGCAGTAAAAAAATAATTCATTCTTCTCTATCGTGGAACTTGGGATTTCTACCGAAAAAATAAATCTGTTATTTATTACTAGGCAATTACTTCACGGGTTCACATACAGTATTTTCCTAATTGTCCCACATCACCGTGTGATCTGGATTTGGTTTCTTTACTTCCATTTTCCACTTTCACAGCCATTTCTAGACACACACACACACAAATCCACACCAATCCTATTAGATTATATACACCAAGTACCTTGCCTTGAGTAGATAATCCATTTTGTGTAATTCCATGACATTGTAGGTACTTTGGAGAGAAAAATATGCTTAGGTATTTATGAAAGACACAGCTTGAAGACCAAGAGTCAAAAGAACTGGGTTTAAGGCCTGATTCATGTACTGAAGAATGGGGGACCTTGAGGAAAGTCATTGCATCAATGAACCTCAACACACCCCTCTACAAAATGGGGGACATACCAGAGCACAGCTATAAATACATACCAGAGCATAGCTAGAAAAACAAAATGACATATTGAAAATTAAGAGTGTTCTATAAACTATAAAGATATAAACATTTAACACAAATATTAATAATACTGGCTTTGCAACATTGTCTTATTTTAGTCTTATTACTATAGCTAGTACCTTTTCTCCCTTTGAAACCTCTCCAGGACAATTTCCATTGGGGAATGAGTGATTCAGAAAATTGAGTTCTCTATACAGTCAAAGGGTGGCCAGAATGATTTTTTTTATGTAGTTATTTTGGGTGGAACTTCTCTGAAATGTTTCAAATACTGAAGACGATACTCAAGTTGTCTTTATTACTTGAAAGTGAACTGTACGAAAGGTTTGTGCTGTGTGACTCTAGAAAGCAGACAGAGGGAATAGGTTCAAATTACATAGATCCAGCACACTGTCATGATGAGCAATAACTTGAAAACAAGTGGTGCTGGCCAACAACAAAATGGGCTGCTTGAGCATAGTATGTTCCCCAACATGGAAGGACTGGAGCTCAGGTCACAGAATCATCTAGTCAGGGAGCAAAAAGATTCAGACATTGGGTCAAAGGTGACTAAAATGGCCAATAGAGCTTTCTTTCCACTTTAAGATTCTGTAATTCTATGTTAATACAACCTCAAAATAAGAACTAGCGAGAAACTTTACTATTTATCATAGTCTCAGGAGAGAGGCAAGTTTCCCCAGTCTTCTCCAAACTTCCAGCCTGCATCTAACAAGGAGGGAATTAGGGTGGCCTTGCCTCTGACTCTATTCCAAGGCCAAAGACAGAGAAATTGGGGTGGGGAATAATATATACAATGTCTAACAAGCGGGGGGAGGGGAAATGAAGGAAAAGGAAAGCAAGAAGAACCATGGAAAACAGGACTAGAAACGAGGATAGAAACAGAAAGAAAATAAAGGAAAGAGAAAAGAGAGAAACTTCAAAGAAAGTTAGAGTGACAGAGAACCAGAACTCCGGGAAGATGGGGCCCCTGTTGCGCTGATTCTGCCAACAGAGGCAGGTGCACTGTACCCTGAGTTCTCTGAGGGGCTCAGGGGGGATTTACTTTCCCTCTGTCTTACAAACACAGTGGATAGAATCTGCCCCACTCAGCAAACAAATTTCTCTTACCCAGGACACCAGACACTTACCAGGACACCAGATGTTCCTGAACATACATGAGATGTTCTTTCCTATCATAAAAACATCTGTTGCATTTATATTTTCCCTAAGATTGTGTTGAATCTGTATATTGCTTTGGGTAGAATGACCACTTTGACAATATTGATTCATCCAATCTATGAACAGGAATATTTTTCTATTTCTCTATTTCCTCTATTTCTTTCAACAATGTCTTATGGCTTTCTTTGTATTGATCATTTATCTCCTTTGTTAGTTTACTTCTAGGTATTTAAATTTGGGGGGATGTAATTGCAAATGGGATCATTTTCTTAATCTCTCCCCCTTCCATCTCACTGTGTACAGGGAGGCAACTGATTTATGTATGTTGAGTTTACACTCTGTCATTTTAATGAAAATTTCCTCTCCACTCTTGAGTTGAACAAGGCATATTTCAGAACAAGGAGGAAGAGGCAGAAAGTCAAACTTAAAAGGCAACAAGGCACAAGTGTAAGGAAGGAAAACTGGTTAGGCAAAAGAGAGGGGAGTGAGTAGTGAAAGAAAAACTGGTGATAAAGACAATAAGAAAAATGAGAGCAAATAGAAGCTGCGGACAGAGAAAATGTCCAAGAATCAAGAATGCTTATATGGGAAAGACAACAAAAATCAAAGCTGATCTGACAGAAAGAAACAAAACAATAGTATGTGTTGCCAGGGCCTTGTGTGGCCAGCCAGGAGATACACCTACACTCTTCTCACCAAGTACAGCCATTTGCTGAACTCATCTGCACCCTAATCTTCCAAGCTCCCACAAACATCAGCCAGAGTCACACAAACTGTGGTCCCCTTTTCCCATGACCTCCAGATTTCTTTTTTCTTTCATCCTGTGCAAGACTGATGTGAACTAGGCCTTCAGCTGATGCACAGTGGCCGTCACCTCCTTCCTAATGCCCAGTGTTCAATTCTTCCTTAAGAACAAGAATTGCAATTTGACTACCTTATCTACCTGTTAGATACCAAGGTAAAGGGACTCTTAGGGGAAAATTATTTGAGGAAAAGGACCTGCTCTTTGTTCCCACAAAATTCAGTGCCCACCACCATCACTCTCCACTTTCCAGAGTGATGGCCCTTACCACTTTTTAGAGAAATTCTGTTGTCACATCTGTCTCTCCCACAAAATCAGAAAACACCTCAGAGTTCTACCTTCCTCATCTCTACATCCCTCACACCTAGCCCAGGGTGTGAACAAAGAGCCTCAATAATTGCTTGATGGTTCAAACTGAACTGGTAAAGGTAAAAAGTATTTTGAGGTATAGATCAAATTGAAATAGCACAGAAACCCTGAGACATCCAGTAAAAGGGGCAGGGCAGCACAGTTGGAAGTCTTCTAAATCCACATGTGAGCACCGAGAAACATTCTAGGACTCTGTCCTCAAATATTTCAGAGTCTAGTGAGTGTCTTTCGGTGTGCTTCCAGACTCTTGCTCTCACAGATCCCACAGGTCAGGATGTGCCCAGCGTCCAATGGGAGAGAGAAAGTGGGAGGAGAGAGGGGAATAAGGAGGAGGGATGACTCAAAATTTAAAAGGAGAAAAGACCCAAAATTTAAAAACCTGCCTCCCAGCAAAACCTAAACAGCGAAGTATATACAGCTCAGCAAAACTCTGGCCCTCCTATGGGGCAGGTCCCACGCAGCAGGCGAGGGGAAAGGCAACGGCAGGAAGAGGCCCTGGCTCTCAGCCTATTAGAAGTAGTAATTATAATCCACCATGAAGAGTGTCCAAACAGAGGTGTTTACAAAGTGCAGGATGTGAGGAACACTGTGGGACCAAGCAGAGTGCTTACTATGTGCTGGCATGATCAGATATATTCCAAACAATGCATTAAATCCTCAGAAATATTCTGATATTACTATTGTCTCCATTGCATACGAGTTGAACCTGAGGCTCAGAAAATATTAAGTTGCTAATAAATGGCAAGACCAGAAATTACAGTCAGTTCTCTTCTGGTATCAAAGCCAATCCTTTTCCTACTCTGAAAAGGGCCCTGTGATGTCGCCTCAACTCCACTGTTCTTTAATCCAGATCGTTGCTAAAAATACCAAGATCACAGTGCTCAGTCCCCAAACAAGGCAGTGAACTTGATGCCATTCCTTCCAAGGCTACAAACCACAGACTCCCTGTGACCACTCCCAAGCCCATCAGGGAATAAGGATACTGAATAATGAGAGAGAGAGAGAGAGAGAGAGAGAGAGAGAGAGAGAGAGAGAGAGAGAGAGAGAGAGAGAGAGAGAAAGAGGAGACAGACTGACTGAGAATGAACCACAATTCAGAGTTAGGCCACTGAGGGTAACTTCAATTCTGAGTTAATAAAAGTCTAAGCTCTCCACCATCCCAAAAGGCACATGCACGCATGTCAGGAGCAGAAATTGTGTTTTCTATTTCTTTGGCCACCAAGAGCACAGCACCTGGTGGGGAGCTCTGAACACAGAGGGTGCTTAATTACTATTCTACCTCAAAGTGGAGAATGATCGAAGAGTGAGCACCAATCTCTGAGCACCCCCGCATAGATAGTGTTCAGCACACTGTGGATGTTCAAACACTATTTTCTGACTGATAGCAAGGCTCAGCCCTGCCTCTCATGGTTTTTCTTGCAGTTGTCAGCAGGTAAGAAGAGGAGGCAGGGCGACAGGATCCTAAGGAAGGAAAGAGGACTGAAGAGTGATGCCCTGGACAATTACAACCAAATAGTCTCTCCCCAAACCAGTCACCCAAGACCAGTTTCCTTTACCCCTTGGGGTTCTTTGCCAATCAGGTCTAACCTCTTCTCACAAGTATATTACACTTCCAGGGCTGAAAATACCCTGACATGCTAACTAAAACACTCTGTTGCTTATCTGAAATTCCAACTTAACTGGGCATCCTCCATTTTTGTTTGCTAAATCCAGCGACTAT